AATTTCGTTGTGTACAAACTTGAAATAAAATAAATTGAACTAATTAACAAATTTTTGTACTTTGTCGGTTGATTCAATTGGGAACTGGCTAACTCGCCAAACCTTATTGCCATTTGTTTTACCTCCTACTTCCTGGTATAAGTCCACGTTGGATGCGACGAAAAAGAAAATCACTTTATTGGACGCACAAGAAAGTTTTGGCACTCGTTTATGTTCAATTAACGATTACGAACGTAAAATTAGTGAAATTGTTGCCAAAAATTGTTCACATAACTTTACAATTCAACCCTTCATTATTGTAGAAGGTGAGAATGCATTCGATATAAAATCTTTTTTTGTCTATTTCGATAAAAATTTATATAGATTAAATTCTTTCATAAATTGCTTGGACACCTGCTTCAAAATATTTAATACGCTGAATTTAAAGTATCCAATCGCTGCACAACTGCCGTGGTTCTTTGTAGAATAGTTTTTTTACGAAATTGACTACAAAATCATCAAACTTAACAGCATTACTGAATTTCATGCGAAATTAGCAAAAAATGCCTGAGTATTGAATTAAAAATAAATAAAGCTATGTAAATGTCAAAGCAATTTATTCAAAAATTTTTATTTTAAAAATGTATCCATGTTTTAAATACAAGAAAGAATTGTATACCATAGATTTATTTCATGCGAAATGAGCAACAAATGCCAACTGTTTTTTGAGTAAAAGACATATGTCGAAGTATTGAATTAAAAGTAATTTTACGTGTACCCTTTCAACAATTTTACTAACGCTTTTTACTTGTCTAAGCAATTTATTAAAAAATTTTAATTCTAAAAATGTATCCATGTTTTAAATGCAAGAAAGAATTATATACTGTAGATTTATTAATTAAGCACTTGAAATATGACCATTTAGTCTCGAGAAATTGTTCATTACAATGCAAAGTGAATAACTGTAACCAATTATTTTCTAAGTACAACACATTCAAAGTACATTTATGTAAAACTCACGCAAATGTGACAGCTGAAGCTTGTGAAAAAACAGTAGGTACCCAAGTCCGGTAATATCAAATAATAATTCATGTGCAAACGTATTTGATGAGTTAGAGAGTTTTAGAAGACCTGCTATTAGACAACCTGAAAGGTTTAACAGATATGAGTGCATTGAAAGTCTTAAAAATCAGGCTATTTTGTTAACACTTCAGCTTCATGCACAGTCGTTTATGCCTAGAAATGAAGTTATTGTTATTCAGGATATGGTTTCAAATTTGTTTTTTGTCTATCTCAAATGTGCTTCAACTTGTTTTCGGTTTAGTGAGTCCAGAAATAGAAGAAGATTTAAAATGTATTTATTAATTTTGCACTGAGCCGTTTAAACAAATAAAATCTGAGTACCGCTTCCTAAAAGTTTTGAATGACATGAATTTATATCAAGATCCAAAATCTTTTGTTGTATCAAACGAACTTTCACCAAAGATTGTAAAAGGCAATTCATCTTTCTTTCCGAAAAAATTTTTTACTTATATTAATGACATCCAATTTCGAATCAAATCTTTTTTTGAGTTGCCTGACGTTCTTAATTTAACACTTGAAAATCAAAGAGTACTTCAAAGTAACGACTCCTTTGCAAATTTTATAAATTCTGATATATTCGCCAAAAAATTAAAAAACTTTTTATCTGAGGATATTGTAATACCATTTTTTTTTGTATTTGGATGAATTTCAGATAAATAATGCATTAGGAACACATGTCCAGTCTACTCAAGTAGCACAAAAGTCAAAAATGCACCAAAATATTTTGTGTATTTTTTGCATCGGCGTGATATAGATTTTCAATATAAAAAATATGCCATTTCTAGGCGCAGCTTTTGAACAGTTTATTTCGATTCAGTGTAAAGGTTATACCGCTTTTTCGTGTATTATTTACACCTAGCGTAATTTTTTTTTACTAATTTTCGGTATATATATTATGCCAGTGGTATACAAGTTTTCTTGTTTCTAGAACATAAAATAAACTCCGTTGGTGTAAAATACGTACTCCTAATTGGCTCAAATCATACACCATAATGGTAAATCATTTACATCATATTCTAGCATAAATATATTCCCATGAGTGTGAAGAGTACGAAATGATTCGAGGAATAAAATTTACTAATAATCAAATTTAAAATTAACTCAGACATAAAATTTACACCGAAGCTCTTTTTTAATCTGCACAACTTAGAATTATTTCTATAAATCTCAGTATTCATAATATGCAGACATGAAAATCGCGAATATATATGAATGTGAGTTCCTAATTTAAAAACGAGGTACATTCTGTCGAGTGAATTTCGGTCCTACCCCCTCTAAAAATCGAGCGCATCAAAATTTATGAGGATTGGAAGATTTTAAATAAATCTGGAAAAAGTTACATTTTGAAAGTAGTGATTTTTTGGCCATTTTTAATTTTCTAAGAGATGCGCTGTTTAAAACAGGGTCGAAAATATCCATAAAGTGGCATAGTTGAGCCAATGTACATACTGAAATTGCTAAATTAGCTAAATAGTAGTCATACAGCTTTAATATGGCGTCCAGCTGAGTTTCAGTATTAGGCTAAGTTTACAACCTAACGTATTAGCGAAGCGAGAATACATAAAAATCGCTTGTAACCAAAAAAAATAATTATGCAGTTTGTTAAAAAAAGCTTTTTCTCATACTTAAAGCCCAAATAAATAAAAAATATACATATGTACATATTTATATAATAAATTAAACATCTCTTCTACTGCTATTATATACAATACAATATGCTTAAGTTTCGGTATAAATTGTCAAAGGGTTGTGGAAACAAAAAAAATATATTAGGGGAATCCCTACGTAGCAATGTATCAAACGTTTTGTTGCTTTCCCAACAACAAAATATGTGCTAGATTGGTACGTAGCAACTTTAAATCTAAAATGCTACTCATCGTAAACTCCCCTATTATAAAAAATTAGTCGTGTATAATTTTGCTACAATTTAAACACTAGCTACGTTTTAATCGCCAACGATTATGCTGGCGAAGAAGTTTCTTTGGATTGAGCGATTTCCATTGCATCGCGTAACGCTATTACTCTAGGTTGTGAACTTAGCCTTACTTTTATAATACTTTGAAAATATGGTCGTCGTTGAAAACTTACACAGATTCTTGAGTTTGGTACAAAAATATTTACCAAGCCAAGAACGGTGTATTTATTTTGCCCTAGACACAATTCAGTTTGAGAATTTGGTATAAAAAATGTTTCTTGTCAAATGAACACAGTTGACAGAAGTTTAAGCGCCTACCACACGTCCATTATTCGAACGCAAACGCGAACGTATACATTTCAACATGTTTTGTTAACGTTCGCGTATTAAAGGAAGAAATCAAATCAGCGTTCGCCTATGTTATGTAGAAAAAATTCTCGCTGTTGTTCGTACTCATATATACTTTGCAACTTATAGCTGCATTTGTGAAGGCATGATGTTGAATCATTAGTACCCAAACAAACATTAAGTGTGTAGGGGCGCCTTATTGATGCATATTTCACCACTGGTGTATTAAATTTACCAACCAGTGTTACCACTCGACAATATTTTTAGGAACAAAAAATCCTACCCAATCAGTTTCCAAACTACCAATTTTTTTTAATCATCAGATATTGATATTTTATTTCGTTTCTGATTTTACTTCATGTAAAAGTATGAATCTTTGATATTAATTCAATTTATATCAATTATTTTATGTCTAAAATGTAAAAAAAAAAATAAAATCGATATAAACATTTTGTATTTGTTACCAAAAAAATGTATTACTGTGTTCGCGCAATTTTATTTTTTTTATTTGTTTTCATTTAACCATGATGCAATAAAATTACGGAATGTCAGCAACATAATCTTAATATTTCGGTAAGAGTTTTAGGCTATTTTAGCACGCTTTCAGTACGCTTTTCTACTTTCACATCACCATTGTATTACCGCCATTCGACAAAATTTATTTAAAAATTTTACAAATGTTCTAATAAACGAATACTATGCAAAAACAGCTCAATGCATTTTTGACATTTCGAATAGGATTTATTTTCTATTATAACTTCGAAACTTTGATAGGATTGCAAAAGATCTTTAAAATTTAGAATCGGAAATCCAAATCGATGAGAAATCAATTTCGAACGAAACCAGAACAGCCCTGAAATGAAACTACCAATTTATCAAAACGGCAACACTGATAGCAGCTCTACTTGTGGTATGTATAATAAGCTCATATTAAAACAGGCAGTGTATTATGTACACACACACTAGCTTTGTTTCTTTACTTTCCTAGCAGATCATTATCGGGAAGAAGAATGGGAAGAATTACAGAATTACGCTCACAGCCAGTGAAATATAGAAAAAGTCAAGAAACGCAAACTAGCAGAAACTAGCTAGTAAACACCTGACCGATGCTATTGACAACTGAACATATGTATTTGCTGCGAATTTTTAATCGCATTTTATGTTTAAAAATTGTTCACAAATACTCAGGTTTTGCCACACTTTATCAAATTAAATAAATCGCCCATTTTTATCAAAAAATACAAAAATATGTAAAAGAAGCAAATCAAAGTAGCTGTGCCTAATCTGTCTAAAGTTGGAGCAACAGCTGAATTTTTCACCGCATAACGTGAAAATTATGTGTTTCTTGTAATTTGCTTTTGTAATTTTTTACTTATATTCGGCTAACACTACCTTGTGTAAATGCGGCTATCTGTAAAGAAACAAAGCTACTGTGTGGTGTATTCAATATTCATTTTTTGGTGAATTCTTTGGTCCACTATCAATTGCTCTCAGAATTTGTGATGTGCTGAGTCGCTACTTTTAAGTATTGATCGATACTCGGTACCGATTTAAAAAGTATCAAATACTTTCGCTGCTCGGTACCGAAATCTTGGAATTTCTAATAAAAGCGCGCAACAGCAAAAAATATGAGTTATATGTACACATACATAT